ATGCTCGGCAGTGGATAAACATTCTTGCGAGTGATCTTATTGAGTCGTCGGTAATCCCCACAGAACCGCCCAAAATCGTCCTTCTTGGCAACAGACACCCATGGGCACTCCGTGGGCCGAATTACGTCGCGTCGGAGAATATCAACTTGCTCATTTCTTACCCGACCGTTCCGCAGGAGACACGCAATTTGGACGTTATATATATATATATATATATATATATATATATATATATATATATATATATATATATATATATATATATATATATATATATATATTGGCAACATAGAGGAATACTAAAGCATTAATGAAAGGGTGGTAGGTATCGTAATTAATCTGAATAAGAGATACAAGATGAAGGTAGTACAGGCTTACACGCCTACATCCAGCTATGATGACGGTTCAGTTGAAGGCTTCTATGAAGACGTGGAATCGGCAATGAGTAAGGTGAAAACGCAGTATACAATACTGATAGGAGACTTTAATGCAAAGGTAGGGAAGAAGCAGGCTGGAGACCAGGCAGTAGGAGATTATGGTATTGGTACTAGGAACGCCAGAGGAGAGCTACTAGTAGAGTTCGCAGAACGCAATAATTTACGGATTTTGAATACCTTCTACCGAAAACGAGGAAACCGCAAGTGGACATGGAGGAGCCCTAATGGTGAAAATAAGAACGAAATCGACTTTATAATGAGTGCACAGCCAGGCATCGTGAGAGATGTGGAAGTGCTTGGCAAGGTACGATGCAGTGACCATACAATGGTACGGTCTCGAATTCACCTAGACTTGAAGAAGAAACGACAAAAACTGATATGCAAGAAGCCAATCAATGAGCTAGCACTGAGAGGGAAAGTACAGGATTTCAGAGTTTCACTTCAGAACATGTACTCGGCTCTTAGTGAGGAAACCAACCTTAGCGTAGATACAATGAATGATAATCTGACGAGTATCATTACGGAGTGTGCAGTGGAAGTTGGAGGCAGGGTAGTTAGACAGAACACTGGCAAGCTTTCCCAAGAAACGAAGAATCTCATTAAGAAGCGTCAAATCATGAAAGTCTCAAGTACAACAGACAAAATAGAACTGGCAGAGCTTTCGAAGTTGATTAGTAGGCATAAGGTATGCGATGTAAGAAGGTATAACACGGACAGAATTGAACACGCTCTAAAAAACCGAGGAAGCGTCAAAGCAGTGAAGAGGAAACTTGGGATAGGCAAAGATCGGATGTATGCACTAAGGGACAAAGAAGGCAAAATGACTACCAATATGGATAGGATAGTTAAAATAGCGGACAAGTTTTACAGAGATCTGTACAGTAGCCGGGACAACCACGACCTTAATACTATAAGAACTAGCAGTAACCCAAGTGACACCCCCCCAGTAATGATAGAAGAAGTCAGAAAAGCTTTGGAGAGCATGCAAACGGGCAAAGCTGCTGGTGAGGATCAGGTAACATCAGATCTGCTGAAAGATGGAGGACAGATTGTGTTAGAAAAACTAGCCACCCTGTTTACGAGGTGCCTTCTAACGAGAAGAGTACCAGATTCTTGGAAAAATGCTAACATCATCTTAATACATAAGAAAGGAGATGACAAGGACTTGAAGAATTACAGGCCGATCAGCTTGCTCTTTGTAGTATACAAGCTATTTACAAAGGTAATTGCTAACAGAGTAAAGAAAACATTAGAATTCAATCAACCAAAGGAACAAGCAGGATTTCGAACAGGCTACTCAACAATTGACCACAATCATACTATCAATCAGGTAATAGAGAAATGCTCAGAAAATAGCCAACTACTATACATAGCCTTCATAGATTACAAGAAGGCGTTTGATTCAGTAGAAATATCAGCCGTCATGCAGGCACTGCGGAATCAGGGCGTCGATGAAGTATATATAAACATCCTGGAAGAAATTTACAGGGGACCAACTGCTACCGCAGTGCTTCATAAAGAAAGCAACAGAATACCAATCAAGAAGGGTGTAAGGCAGGGGGACACAATCTCCCCAATGCTATTTACCACGTGCTTACAGGAGGTTTTCAGAAGCCTAGAATGGGAACAGCTAGGGGTAAGAGTTACTGGAAAGTACTTTAGTAACCTGCGCTTCGCCGATGACATTGCATTGCTGAGTAACTCAGGGGACGAATTGCAACTGATGATTGCGGAGTTAGACAAGGAGAGCAAAAAGGTGGGTCTTAAAATTAATCTTCAGAAAACGAAAGTAATGTACAACAACCTCGGAAGAGAACAGCGCGTAAGTAATAGTGCACTTCAAGTTGTAAAATACGATGTCTACTTAGGGCAGGTAATAACCGTGAAGCCGAACCACGAGATTGAAGTAACTAGAAGAATAAGAAAGGGGTGGAGCACATTTGGCAAGCACACTCAAATTATGACAGGTAGATCGCCACTATCCCTCAAGAGGAAGGTATATAACAGATGTATCTTGCCGGTTGCACTTAGCTACGGAGCAGAAACCTGGAGACTTACACAGAGGGTTCAGCTTGAATTGAGGACGACGCAGCGAGCAACGGAAAGAAAAATGGTAGGTTTAACCTTAAGAGACAAGAAGAGAGCAGAGTGGATTAGGGAACAAACAGGGGTTAAGGATATCATAGTTGAAATCAAGAAGAGAAAATGGACATGGGCCGGGCATGTAGCGTGTAGACACGATAACCGCTGGTCATTGAGGGTAACTAACTGGATTCCTAGAGAAGGCAAGCGAGTTAGGGGGAGACAGAAGGTTAGGTGGGCAGATGAGATTAAGAAGTTTGCGGGTATAAATTGTCAGCAGCAAGCACAGGAGCGGATTAACTGGGGGAACATGGGAGAGGCCTTTGTCCTGCAGAATACGTAGTCAGGCTGATGATATATATATATATATATATATATATATATATATATATATATATATATATATATATATATATATATATATATATATAACAACAGGCATGCTCAGCCAGCTGGGTGCGTCAGGGGGAGACTTGTCGTCAACGTGAGGAAAAGCTATAGTCACAAGAAGAACGGGTACGGCACCATACATTCAACGCTTCTCGCATAACTATAATAAAACAGCACAGCGAGCATACATCAACGTGTTTTTTTTCGGCACTAAACAAACTAGGTATTGTATGTCGGAAAACTAACGTAAGTGCCGTGGCGAAACATAATCGTGGAAAACCGCACACCAACAGATACGTGCATTGCCGTAAGGGCGTTGTATACTAGATTCCATTACGTTGTGAAAACAGATCCATAGAGCTAGGGCAGACGGGCACATGTGTAAACGACAGGTTGTGTGAGCACATAGCTAGCTACAAGGTGACACCGCATGAGAGTTTGCTGTCCCCGCATTGGAACTAATGCAAATGCAGGGCGCGCTTCGAAAACACCACCTTCTTAGGTGAAAGTGGGTTCGAGGAAGTACGGTTGATTGAAGATGCTGCCGATATAGCTGGTAGATTGTGCGTCAACAGTCCGTCTACTGCGCGATCAAGAAACCTGAGCGTGAGCTGAAGTGCGAAGCTATTGAATTTCCAGTTTTTTATTTTAAATTGTTTGCAATGCGTGATTAGCGACTCTAAATTACTGGTGCACTGCTGATTATGCTCTTCCACATGCTACTTCTACCAGAGTGCGAAAGTGGGAAAGCGTGACGTTGTGCCCGATAATAAAACAATCGTGTGAATTGTAGCACTGTGCGTGTCTTCCTGTGCCTTTCTTGTGCCTTGTTTTTTTTGAGCTACCATAGCAATAAAAAGTTTGTCAAATATTTAATCATGCTAATTCAACATAGCAAGTCATTCTGATTTTTTAGTTTATTTTAGAGCCCCGCTCACAAAGCAATTGTAAAAAAAGAAAAACGCTTTAAAAATGTGAGATCGAAGATCACTTGAACTTAAACACTATTGTTAAACACTATTGTAAAAATATATGAAGTATAGAGGCTCAGCAATGTGCATGGGTTGCCCGAGTTTTACATTACATAGCAGTACTTTACATGGCCTTAAAGAACAGTTAGCGGCAGTGCAATCGTTTCAAGAAATGATATACCAGTGTGGCAGCTATGCAACGGAGTATTGCAAGTACGACAGGGACTAATATTAGCAATCGTGCAGTTTCTTTTAAATGACATTTCAGTGACTTGTGGGACCTTCTAATTCTATTGGTTTTCGTCCATCTAAACACTTCAGACATCATAAAAGATAATAATAAAATTAAGGCGTGAAACGCGAACACTAGCAAAAGAACAGAAACGCGGCGTTTATATAGTCTTGTTCTTTGTCTCTTCTTGTGTCCACGGTTGCATGCCTTCATTTTTTTTTATAATGAATCTTTACCAACTAGCTCATATTTCTGCCGTCCTTAGCTTGAAGTTTCATTCACAATGCGGTAAGGCCTTTCATAGGTCAGCAAAAAAGGGGAGCTCATTCAGGTTTACTCAAGAAGTGAATTTTGCATTTTGAGCTGACTCGGTCTCAAACTCATCGAAATTTTCTTCAAATTTAGGCCCAGACTCATTAAAATATTGTCCACCCGGACTCACTCAAACCCACGGCTCCATCTTAGAGCGCCTCTGAGTAGGTCGACTCGTGAGTGAATTAGCCGACATATAGCACAGACTGAATGTTTTGAGATCAGCGAACTCGAAATGGCTTGTTATATGAAAGGGAAAGCAGGCTCTAAAAGAAATGATAACCACGTATAATTGATTTACGCTGTACAGTCTGACCAGAGGCAACCATCGTCAACATTCCCCTTCGGGACGCTTCCACCACTCTGCTCCTTGCTTCAGTCCCCCCCCCCCTCCCCGTCGTCATTGTTTCACTTAACCAAAAGTTGCATCTCAGAAAAAAGAAAGAGAGGCTGGAGGAAAACAAAACAAAAGAAGCAAGGAAAGAGCGAGAAGCCTTCTGTTTCTGCCGTTCTCTCGGGATGTGGCAACATTGCGGGCAGGAAGATGCGTTAAATCTGTTGCTCGTCATTTGGTTGTCCTGCACGTCTGAAGTTGCGTGGCGAGAGGGGCGAGCGTGCCCTGGGACGGGCCGGTGGCGAGAGCGGGACCAGTAGCAGCGCAACGGCCGCGCACATATGCTCACCAGAACGGCGGACGCTAGCAGCCGAGGAGGAGCATGGAGCATCGCAGAGGGCGCCGAGCAGCGCCACGGCCGCCCGACACACTTGCCGTCGCCGTCGGAGCTGCTGCCCGCTACTGACAGCACCTCTGCTGCCGCCTGTGACACCTAGACCACCACACCCGTCGGGTGCATCCTCTTCAGCGCGCGTCCCTTTCTGCGCGCAGCCGTGCGCCGTTACACCTGCGCCACCAAAGATGACGCTCTGCCTCGTGGGGTCAGTGCTTCCTCTCCTGCTGCTCGCCAGAGGCACGTCTTCCAGGGTGAGTCCAAGAACGACTGCCATGCGTCTTGCAGGAACGGATATTTCTTTGGTTTTACTTCGCCTGGAACGAGGGCGGCCGCTCACAAACTAGTATGCATGTAGAGCTGCTTGCGAGAACTTGTGCCCTGAATCCCGGGAAAAACAAAAGCGAATACCACGATTGACAGAATGTAAGCGAGCGTTCCCTAAAAATGACCAGCTTTATTTCAAGCCACAAGACATTATTGCGTGATTATAATTCATAAATCGAGGACGTTTTGGCTCACGTTTTCCGGCAGTGTAATTAAAACGCATTGGTCGACATTTTACACCAAAGGAGCTGAAAGCGAAAATGTTGCTCAGTTATCAAGCGGTTTAGAAGACAGCAGACGCAGCATAGCACAAGACTTACAAAATTCTATGAGTGAAGGCCTGTGATATATTGGTAGCGCGCCAAGAATGCCTCCGGACGCTGCAGGAGAGAATGGTAGCCTACGCGAGATACCTGCAGGGAGAGAGATACGTACATGTATAGAAGACAGCATTATTTCATCCGATTCTTTTTTCTACTCCATTTGGTTTTACATGCCTATTGACATCCAGGTGTAATGGCTAACAAATAACCCAGTATAGGGAATCAGATTAATCACCCACGCAAGCATAGGCATAGAAACGCTTTTCTTTTATTCACGTAACTCTTCAAGCGCTTGATAGGTGTCTACATATGACTTTTTCTAGTTTTCGGACTTCTACCTGCGTCGCACCAGATGCTGGTCGCGGAGAAAGACGCTAAAGTAGCCATGGTAAACTATACTTTCGATAACTAACTTGTATTGTGTGTCAGAATGTTTGCTTTCGTTCTCCAGAAATAGAGAGAGGAGGTAGTGGAGATTTCGTCAAACTCTGTCCATTCAGATAACTTCAAGAAGAGAAAGAGAAAAAGAATAAAGTACGCAAAAAAAGTTCTTTGGATTTGGCGAATTCTCAAAGGTGCTCTGCTTCTGAGGCCAAGTCTTCTCTGTATTTGCCACAGTGCTTTCATATTGGACGGTGAAACACGTGCGCGCATTTCCGTACCTGTTCTACAAAGTAGAGAAACAGCTGAACTGAGACAGCGTGGCCTTGTGTACTTATTCGCTGACGCAATATTCCAGCGCAAAAGAAATAGGGGACGAATGAATGAGGGCGTGAGCAGAGGGGCCAGGGCAGACGCAACACTGCCCTTGCCCCTCTTCTGGCGTACGCGCTCTCTATAAGTCGTCCAAAACGTGTCGAGAAGTATACCGCCGCCGTCACGCGACAAGTGTGCCCTCTTCGGTTCGCAGGTCCCACACCTGGTCGCGCATTGGCGTCTGCTCTTTACTTGATTGCTATCTTGTACAGTACGATCCGACCGACCGACACTCTACCTCCACATCTCGCCTTCGAATGAGTTTGTTCAGAGTTACGGTGACAGCCCTGTTTTATAGCAGTTGTTCTTTAAAAAAAAAGGCTACGCGTATTGTTGAAGAGAAAGGAGAATAGGTAGGGTTATGGGCGTGATGAATTATTTCGTTTTTACTAAAGTGTATATATGCTATAGCGCGATAGCACCGAATACTGTAAAAAAGGGGTTGCCTTGATAATCTTTCCGTTGGTAAGCTTTATTGGAGCTGGTGATCAAAGGTATTTCAGCAATGTCTAATAGCTGCCGGTGAAATGACCCTAAAATAATAGAATAATATGGGAACAAAAGCGCTGACGCACTGTACCTTTTTGCATGATGAATTATACAGAATGAATGAGTCGGGTCGGACTTGTATACAGATGCCTAGCTTCAACCTATTGCACAAACAAGCAAACTTGCAAACATATAGTGGATGATGCACTCCGCATACGCCTTGTAAAATAGCGCGAAAAAGCCCGTGGACAAAGCAAGAAGATAACACAAGCTCTTTACTTTCAAGTGACGTTTATTCTTTCGCAAAGAGAACATGTATACATGGAAACAAGTGATCACGCACAATGAGTCCGTCCAACAACATGACAATATATTCAGCAGTTTCACTTCATCTTTTCACAGCCCTGAGGCCAGTAAACCTACTTTCTTGTCAGATAGCGCTTGCGTTGTCTTTTTGCTGTGTGCACGTGTTTGTCTGCGCTATTTTACAATATATACAGTCCGATCCATTTCAAAGTTGGGTGGTTATGATATATATATATATATATATATATATATATATATATATATATATATATATATATATATATATATATATATATATATATATATATATATATATATATATATATATATATATATTATATATATATATATATATATATATATATATATATATATATATATATATATATATATATATATATATATATATATAATCGGCATCTGACGATTCAATGTAACCACGAACACATTTTTTAACCTGACGCACACGAATTATACTCGTGAACGTTGATGAGTCTCAAGCCACGTTTTATGCTACAGACAAAAGTTTTAAATGCAAGCATTTCTTAGCAAACTTCGGCGACTTTGAGCCTGCCTGCCTGCCTGCCTGCCTGCCTGCCTACCTGTCTGCCTGCCTGCCTCTCTATCTATCTATCTATCTATCTATCTATCTATCTATCTATCTATCTATCTATCTATCTATCTATCTATCTATCTATCTATCTATCTATCTATCTATCTATCTATCTATCTATCTATCTATCCAGCCGCCTACGACTTTTAGTTCTCCTGGTCGTTCCGATAATGGTATCGATACCAAACTTGGTATGGCGTAACATAACTATATGACGAGCATATTTGACCAGTCATAACATGAAAATCATGACGTATATGTCATGATTGTCATGATTTAAATTTCATAGTTTTGCTGTACTTGTAGTGGTTTCGTTCACAAGACATGTTGCAAAACTGGTATGGTATGACATGATTGCATGGCGAACACAAGCGACAGGCATTAACATGAAAATCATGACATACGTGTCATGTAACAACATGATTACATGCCACGCTCATGACGCACTCACGGCCGTTTCGCTAGCGTCACATATACCAAATTTGGTATTACGGTACATGAACGGATGATGAAGGTATGTGACTGGTGCAACCATAATAATCATGAGATGCGCGCCATGTAACATTATGTCTACATGCCACGCTCATGATGCACTGGTGGCCGTTTCACTAGCTTCACTTATACCAAATTCGGTATTACAGGACGTGAATGGATGACGAGGATACGATACTGGTGCAAACATGATAATCATGACATGCGTGTCATGTAAACCATGACTACATGCTACACTAATAGCGCGGTCGCGGCTGTTTCGCTAGCTCCACGTTTACCAATTTTGGTATCATGTGACGTGAAGAGACGAAGATAATAAAGACACGTCCAAACATGATAATCATGACACAAAAGTCATTTACGGCATGACTGACGTCGGCCACGTAACGTTTTGCTGATTTTAAAGTGACATATCAACCTTCCTCCTTCGTGCTTCGCATATTATCAATTCCCACTCTACATGGGATCTGCCTTTTTTTTTCGTGTCGTTTAAATGCCAGCTTTTAGAAATATATTCTGTGGTTTATGTTTTCACGCGGATGTCGTTATTCTCTGTACCCGCCTGCCGTCTCAGTATTTAGGGGAAACACGCAATGTATCACTTCATCTCTGCACGCCTGAAGGCCTCATCGCGCATGTGCGACATGACCGATAGCGAACGAACGCAGGAAAATGGACTGAACGTGGGGCTCGGCTGAAATGAAAGGCCATGCCGAACGCGGTCCGCTGTATAATTACCGCGCCCGACTTGTGTTTAACAGCTATAACGCCGGGATGTGAAGAAGACCTCTATCGACTGCCGTCATGGTGACAGCTGCGATGAGGTCCACGCACTGCTGAGTGAACGGTAGCTGTCGCCGTTGGTTACATCTGTCCAGGGAGACGATCAGTGACGCGCATTTCAGCGCCATGAACACTTGCGAAGAGGTTGTTGCTTCGTGCAAACGCATGCCACTTCGGTGAGCTGTATAGTCAGAAGCGTACCTGCAGGTTTTCATTCCGGCTACGCTTCTGATTTTTACATCTACTGCGCCAAAGTTGCTAGGTCACGCTGCCTTAAGAATACATGCGATAGTGGCCTGGTAACTTTTGACGGACCCTGTAGGTGTTCGTGTGTGTGTGCACGCATAGGCGCATGTACAAATATACGCGTACAAACCGCAAAGGTGCTGGTGAGGGAGGCAATGGGGCGTCGATTCCCCCCGTCGCCACACTTTTCTTTTAGCTAAACCCATGGCTGCAGTGTTTTTTTTAAGAAAGCGACTATGCACAAGACCGCTTTTTTTTTTTTACTCGCATATTTACTTTAGGTATACGTGCGCGCGTGCATGTGGAAAGCACTTCATGATTGGCCCCCACCTAAACAGCAGTGGTAAAAACCTAAAAAAACCTGCCTCTCTCTTTCGTATCCTTGAGGGATCATTAAGTTTTCTCGTGTTCGCAGAACAGCGCCCTATTTGTACACCCCTTGTGTCTTTTGGGTATGGCTCTGATTGCAGCTCATAGCGTATTTTGACCAGGATGTAATGTGTGTCACTACTGGTCTTGTTTGAATGAACGGTGGCCTCGGCTACTCAATTTCCTCTCTCTCTCTCTCTCTCTCTCTCTCTCTCACACACACACACACACACACACACAGAGAGAGAGAGAGAAAGAGAGAGAAAGGGAAAAATTTGGTTGTCCCAAAACAAAATTTAATATGCAGATTAATAACATAGCAACCTCGAACAAATGAAGAAGAGGCAATGGACAGCTCATTTAAAAGAGTTCGCTTTGTATCCGCAGACAGTTCATTTGCGAATTTTTGTCCAAGTTATGCCCACAGTATACATGTCACCTTTATCTGCACATGGCTGCTCACTCTTTCTTCTTCTGCACTCAAATTTAGCGGAGGTATTTCCGGGTAATCGCTTCCGTAGATTATACCATCACTCTCGCCATATATCGT